TTCACCATTCCGGACCCAGATCTCAGTATGCATGACGGATTTCATTCAAATTGATACATACATAAACATAATAGGACTTGATGCACGTCATTTTTTTCCGGATCAAGTTCGAAATAGCCGACTGGCGGCCATTTTGTTTTAAAGAATTCAGTTCTGGATCCGTATCCGAGACATGTCTGGATTGATCGAGTTCAAACTTCACACACACAAGGTACATCATGTCACAAATATGTATGTGCATTTGTTTCATGATCTCATTAACGATAGCCAAATGGGGGCCGCTTTAAGGCCGAAAATGCATTGAAATCGCACATTTTCACCATTCCGGACCCGTATCTCAGTTATGCATGGATGGATTTTGTTCAAATTTGGTACATACATTAAACATAATAGGACCTTGATGCACGTCTTTTTTTTTCGGATCAAGTTCGAAATGGCCGACTGGCGGCCATTTTGTTAAAGAATTCAGTTCTGGATCCGTATCCAAGACATGTCTGGATTGATCAAGTTCAAACTTCACACACACATGGTACATCATGTCACAAATAGATATGTGCATTTGTTTCATGATCTGCTTAACAATAGCGGAATGATGGCCATTTTAAGGCCAAAAATGCATCAAAATCACGTATTTTCACAATTCCAGAACCGGATCTCAGTCATGCATGGATGGATTTTGTTCAGATTTAGCACAATGTGTTGTACATATGCAGGTGCATTTCGGTCATGATCTGCTTTGAATGTATATGTCACTCAAATATGAACGGAACGGGGACGTGTCATTGACAATGACTTGTTTTTCATTGTTCAAGCCCCAGGTTGGTTTACTGTGAAACTATTTATTTTCACTGGCATTTAAGTTCATAAACTTGGCAGAGGAACTATAGTTCTATTGTTATATTTACATGTTCAAGTGGATTTAATTACGGCAAAATTAGCAAAATTAAAAAACAGAAAATTAATGCGTTTATAGCAATTGAACATGTTTATTCATAGTACATTGTGGACTGTTCGAAAAATTAAAAACAAGGCAAAGAACAGATTGATGTCCTCTCTTGCTTTTGTTGTGACCCTGAAAACAAATTTAAAATCAGATACAATATGTTGTACATGTACAGCGGAAACTACATTTAATTAATAATTGATGTGTATGTACACCTTGTCACAAGTATCGGTATGTTGGAAACTATAACATTCATTCATTGATTTGGATAAAATATATATGTATATAGGCCATATCTTCAGAAGTAGATGTACATTGGTAACTACATTCATTGATTCATTGATTTGAGAAAATACTTATTTGTATACCATATAATAATAATTATTTTCTGGCTGCTCCATGCTGTGATGTGTCTATTTTAACATTTCAATTTTTTTTTTTTTTACATTGTGTTTTTTATGTGCTTAAAATATAATTTTGCGCTCAAAGCTATGCTCTGTTCATTGTATTTACTAAGTTCACTTTATTCAGATAAAATAATTGGTAAGGTTCAATGAGACAGAAACAGGATGTCATTATTTTTCACATGATTGCACTGATTATAAATTTTTGGTGATTAAATTTCACTATTGTACTGTTAAGAAGATTCAAACCAAACTGATGATGATACAGTACATTTATGTTACGTTTGTCATACCTTCACTATTCTGGGTTTATGCCACCAGGATACCAGAAATATAAAAAAAAATTGTCACCGAACAATTTTTCAAGACTGTAATTGAAACAGAAACTTACATGACATTTCAGACCCTAGTCCAGGGATTAACTCATCATAGTGAAAGCCTGCATAATCTTTAAATTCAGGCAAAACCACCTTGAGTAGCAAGTCATTATAAAATACACAGGATGTAACATATCCATTACCAATCAGTTACAGTTCTACCCAAGTTTACTTTAATATAAAAACAAAGGCAGTCATGTGATATTACAGCCTTGAAAGTCACATAAAGAGGAAATGACATTCATTCAGAGTTATTGAGGCATAACTTTATTTTGTAGTGACATTAACAATTTATATAATACATGTACATGTATTATTTTTTCAATGCAACACATATTTGAATATGTTAATTAAAATTATCTTGTTTTGCAGATTCCTAAATGACTTCTTTGCAACGATCTTTACATCGGGTTTCATGAAGACATGAATTTGCTTTCTATAAAATATTTATAAATGTTAATAAGTTTCAAATGGTGATTGAAAACAACTTGACCAATCACAAGCCTCAGTGGATGAATAATGCATGTACATATAATTACACTACATAGAATTCCATGTACATGAAATTCCACTGTGGTCTCCTTTGGCACTGGCCGCTTATCGCAATTTAAATTCCTGTGCAAAGCGATAATAATATTATTTCTACTTGCATTCTTTTAAATTTCAGCAAACAAATGGCTGTGATTACAAGCATTTTAAACAAATTTGATAGGAGCTACATGTATGGCAGTAAATCGGGCAATGATTGAAAAAACCCACAAGGACTCATGGGTAATGGACATTACCAAATGGTTTCTAACAGCCAATCATCATCTGAAGCATGAGAATATTTCTGAATAAATTTTTCATCAATATTTATGAATGTCCATTTATGTTAATTTATGTTGACTCAATTTTGAAAAAGATTTTTAATAAATTTTACTGTTATTTCAATTTAGTTTTCAATCTATGAATGTATTTGTAGCTTATATCGTATTTGCTCTATTGCAAGCACATCTCTTTTAGACACTCATATGCACCGAAATTGTGTTAAAATATTTAAATCATTTAAATATGAATTAGTTTGCCAATTGAAACATCTCTGCGATGTTTATAAGTACAAATGTACAAATGCTGCTAATGGGTCAAATACTGTATTATGTATACACTGTAACCGAGACAGCTTATTTTCTTTTCACTTCCGTAGAGTCATGTAATATTAAAGACTGTCTACAGTGTCTGGACGATTCAAAGTGTTCTCGGTAAGTGCAGCAATTTCACTCTTGTACAGCCGTCAGCATTAGCTTAGCCAATTGCGCTGACATTTGTAACTACCCATGTGCATCTGAAGGCCATTTTTTCTCTCTCTCTTTACCCCTGAGTGCATTTATAAGATTGAAAAAAAAAGCAATGGCCAGCGGAGCTGTGATCACTGTGGATTTATTCGTAGTTTGCTTTAATAGCTTTCCTAGTTTTCACCAAATTGATTTGATGGAACAATTGTGACTTTCTTGTTGCTGGCTAGTGAAAAATTTTTTTATCTGATTATGCTGAAAGCCTGGATCGTGCTCAATCAGGAGAGTGGGTCGTTATTACATTTGCTCATTCAGGTATACAGTACATGAGGTGCCTTCTACTCCTGGGTCAATGTATTCTTTGAAAACATGGTTACTCAACACTGAAAACAGATTATTTTTTTTTGCATAAATTTTAATGCAATATACACTGTTGAGATTTTCATGTATTTTACTATTATTTATTTGTTCATCTTTGACCAGAAGAAATCCTTTTTGTTTTTAATGATTACCATTATTATTAATTGGATTATTTAAAAAAAAAAATTTTTTTTTATTTACGGTTAAATTATTAGACCGGGGATAGTTAGCTTGGCTGTGCAAATTAAATATACTAGCAGGATAATAAAATATTTGAAACATGAAATACTGAATGGTACACTCTGAGTTGTGGCTAGTTTCATTTCTAGTTCCAAGTAGAAATATCAAGTTGAATTGATACATGTGAATGTAGCTATATGCTATCAGATGGGTTGAATTGCTAGAGGAATAGTATTGTTTTCACTGTGATCACTGAGGTGATCTAATTAATAGTGATTCAACTAATACAATGATTATGGTAAGCCAATTTAGAGTACACTTCATCTCACAATTGCTTTCTGATTGATTGAATGAATTATATTATAAATTGTTCATGATGCGTTACTTTTTGCCAACTTCACACGTATATGTTAGAGAAATGTTGTGTAATTAGGGGGAATGTTTTACCAGTCACGCTACATTATTGCAGTTGAATTGAATCATTATATATATACATGCATAAGACAGAATTTGATTCGTTGAAAAAAAAAATAGGTCAACAAACAAGGTATACTCTGATTGGTCCGTCTATTAGGTGTTAGAGTTGGGTAGCCAATCATGTACAATCTTGTGAAGTAGCTTTGTATTGACTCTATGATTTGTACATTTAGGGGTTACAATTTGCAATCAGTAAACATGATTATACAGGTATAAATTTCTAGGCTACATATATCTAGAGTTTTCCACTGTAATCTACAGCGCTCCAGGGGTTATTATCATTTCCGCCCCAAGTTACATGTTTAAGGTGTAAATTCAAGATATGCTCAATGTACTCATTAAGAAAATATATAATTTTTTTTTAGCTTCACTTTGTATGCAAGAGAGATGTTAAATTTTCATTCACCAAAACATCTTCCTTTTAACCACCAGACTTTCCCGCCCAAATTTGTCTGCACTTTCTTCATGTATTCTTCAATATTTCTGGAAATGAAACCTAATTTTAAAGCCAACAGACAAAATTTTAGTAAATTTTCAGTTTTTACTCAAAAAATTTGGCTATTTTTTGTCCCAATCTTTTGAAAGAAAGTGCAGACTATAACGGGGTTATTGCGATGAAAAGAAGGAACTGGTGGTGGAAAGGTTAAGGGGTACAATGGCCTTTCTAGAATAATGTTGTTCTTGTTTCAGTAAAAATGTCGCTTTCAGGAAGTCTGACTGACTTTATTGAACATTACTGTAAAATCTGTATTAGAAGCCGCGGCTTCTATTAAAATGGTACAATGCAACAGAGGGGATGCGGCTTCTATTACAGCATCTACACATATGAGAAATGGTGAATTTTAGATTCTCAATTATTCAAAAAGAATGG